ACCTCCAACCTAGACGCGATGACCTCCAACCTAGACGCGATGACCTCAAACCTACACGCGATGACCTCCAACCTAGACGCGATGACCTCCAACCTAGACGCGATGACCTCCAACCTAGACGCGATGACCTCCAACCTAGTAGCGTTTGCAAATTGATTCTTTGGATGAAGAGCCATGGTGAAGATTGGGAGTCGCTATAGTGTTCCGATTCACATCGTTTGTTGATACAAAGATAGACATTATGTTAAATGTTGGAACGATTGTTGTAATAGTAATTCTTTATGTTCAATGTTTTTTTGCGTGTTGTTTTACCATCGTTTTACTTCGTTTTTATTACCATGTGGACCGATTCGCCAGACCGTTCGTCCAATCCACACGGAGGACCCCTTGTGACGGACCAGCATCTGAAACATCCGGAATTTCGGAAGGGACCGGAGGAGAGAGTGTAGGGTCACCACTTTTTCGGTTGGTGAAAACGGGTGTTTTGTTGTTCTTTAAATGGAACTCTCACCTGAAAATGGGTGAGAAGAATATGGAGGTGACAAAGTTTCATTGAGAAATCCGATGGTTTTGCGATCTCCAATGTATCTATATCTACATATCTTGGAAACGGAAGCACCTATCTACGCTTTGCAGGTTAGCTTTGAAGATGCTGGGATTTGATCACCAAAAGCCTGCAGGCGTTTTGGTGTCCCTCATTTGGCTGACATCACTTCAGAGAGGTTCCTTAGACCGTTGACCGTGATCCACAAAACCAACATCCCATCAACCTGGTGACTTGAGGGAAAGAATTGGGCGGTCTTGGATCCTTTTGGCACTCAACAGAAAGGCTCCCTCCCAGTTGCTTCGCGCTGCTTTGCACTGCTTTGCATAGCTTGCAGTTCGTTTTGGGTTTTTCACTTTTTGGACAAGGTGACGGGCAGCTGAACCGCTCTCGCGCAGAGGCCTTGAAGGCAGGATTGTGGAAGCATGTGGGAAGCCCAGTATGTGTCAAGTAACCCCTCCCTATAAGGTTGGAGGTCATCGCTACAAGGTTGGAGGCCATTGCTATTAGGTTTCTTTTGTTATTTTTTTTAGGTCGTCGACATTTGTGCGGGGCCATCGTCCCAGAAATGCGAAGAGTTCGACAAGGGAATGATTTGTCTGGCTGCGATTCCAAAAAGGCCTGAGGCCTTAGAAGCTATTTGACCATCGGCTGGGGCGATGAACTAGAAGCTTCTGCCTTACCACCAGCACGGACCACTGCAAAGTAGATTCGGTACTGATGCTTTTGCAACATGGAAGCACCCAGCAACGGTGTGCCGATCAAAAGGAGTTTGCTCCTAGTAACGTTTCTTGCTCCCAGTAGCGATGTCAGGAGCTGCTAGTCGTGTCCTTGCTCCTAGTAGCGATGCCCTTTGTTTCTGGTAGCTCCTTGTTCCTAGCAAAAACCAAATTTGCCCAATGTTGCGGTGTTCTGTGTGCAGTCTTTGGCAGTTCCATTGATACATCCATGGCAGCTTTCAGGTGGTCTTGCACTTGATGTTTTTGGGGTGCCTACCTTTGATGACCGCATCATCTGAGCTTTTTGCGCAGGGGACACAACAATCCTTTGGGAATTAGGTGGATGAGAGTTGGGATGCCACCTGTTGCTAGCAACTGGATCTAGGATACTTTTGTTGAACTATTGAAGGGCTATGACAGCTAGTAGCAGGTTTTTGTTGGTTTTTTGACTTTTGAGGGACTCGTGTTGCACGTCTTTGTCTTTTCAGTGTTGGCCTGGCGGAAGTGGCCAGGGCGGTCGCGAGTGCCAGGTGATCAGGTCGCGACGTGAAGATGGCCCAGGCCCAGAGAAGAACTTGCCCCAGAAAAGCATGCTGCATGAGGTTGGTTTTTGGTGTTTTTTTGCAAGAGACATTTGCAGACCGTGCACGATTTGTGTCTGATTTGCACAACCGGGGTGGTCGCTTCGTTGAACTCCAGGCGTTCTTTCACCGCGCTCTGCGGCACTGGCCAGGTCCGAGCGAACCACGACGGTGTCGGGCGCTCTGCGGCATCCGGACGCCGACGAAAAGAATCACGGAAAAAGGAACCGAAGCGTCCGATCGCTCTGTTCGTAGCGATGCCAGGAGCCCCGTTCGTAGGGTCCTTGCTTCTAGTAGTAAGGCCAGGAGCCCCTAGTAGCTTCTTGTTACTAGCAATGGCCTCCAACCTAGTAGCTAGTAGCGATGACCTTATATATTACTAGTAGTGCCAGGAGCGCCCCTAGTAGCTTCTTTGCTACTATTGGCGATGTCCTTGTTACTAGTAGCAATGGCCTCCAACCTCAGACGAAGCGTTGGATCTGAAAATTCCACGAGAAAGCAGTCGAAGAGCCAAACCATTTGGGGTGCTTCTTGGAACCTGGAGCTGCCCTTGGATGATCAATGTTTCATTAACAAGAAGGAGCCCCTAGTAGCGTCCTTGTTTCTAGTAAGGCCAGGATACCGAGTTGGCATCATAGTGACACAAAAAGGATCACTACGAGGAAACTCAGCGCAGAATATGTTGCAGCTGAATGGCAAAAGGCTTTGCTTCACCTCGCGCCTCAAAAACTCGGAACCGCTCAGCGCTTCGCGCTTCTCGTGTGGCCCAGGCGGACGACAGCTTCCAATACCGGGAAGAAAATGGGTTGTGTTTTTGTTGGGGGATTCATGTTGCCAGTGACTTCAATCACTCGGGGTGTTATTTGTTCTGCAGTTGGCGCAGAGCAGGCCATGGAAGTGCCCCATCTCCGAAACGGATGCCTTTTTGGCATCGGACGAGGTGGTTGCAAGGCGAGGTGGACCTTCACCGAAGCTATTTAAAGCTCAAAAGAAACCTTGAAAGAAGTCGTTTAGAGAACAGCCAAGCTTGACAGCCAACCACCCAAGGGCGAAGCCCCCCCAGAAAGACCGAACCTTCTTCGACTGCTTGAATTCCTTGGCTTCAAGCTTCAAGTTCCCAGAGCGAATGCTTCCTGACAGGTGAAGTAAAAGAAGAGACCTATCAGCTGGAAGTTCTAAGGGAACGATCAGCGTCCAAAAGACCTTTTGAAGGCGCCTGGATTGCCGTGACCGGAAGGTTCCTTCCAATTTGGAGCTTTAGTGCTTGATAGTGCTTTAGTCCCATGGCGGAGACCCAGGCAGGAAGCGAGACTCGGGCCGACCTTCGACCTTTTCCTTTTTAAGCTGGGCTGGGTAGGCCGTTAGGAGGCTAGGTAGCTAGTAGGGAGAGGTAGCTACTACTTACTACTTGCAAGTAAGCTACTACCTTGGACGCAGGATAGCTCGCGCTAATGATTTGGTTCCTAGGTTTTTAGAGAAACTTAACCATAGCCCGCTCCTACTTGATTAAGTAGGCGCCTACTTAAGTAAGGCTAGTAGCTCAAGTACGCTGCTACCTACTGGTCCCAGGAAATCTCACGCTATTCATGTAGTTTCCTTGCTAGTAGTAACAAGGGCATCGTTACTAGTAACAAGGGCATTACTACTAGTAGCAAATAGCTACTAGTAGCGTCCTTGCTCCTAGTAGCGATGCTAGGAGCTACTAGTAGCGTGGCACTTGTTCCTAGTAGCAATGCCCTTTGTTACTAGTAGTGTATGAATTTGTTCTGGATGTTTAGGGAAACTTGCTCTTTGGGGCTTTAGGCATACCTTCTGTGGCAGAGCGCAAGCAGAACTCTGCCTGACCACATGCACTGCAGCATCTGCAGCATTCGGTTGCAGGGATGAAGGAAACGTGGGAGGGCAACCACTTGGTCTCCAGATGGATAGCTGCTGCGACCATACAATAGAATACACATCGAATCTATAAATTGGGCGGTTGAACTTGATCACACAAGATCACTGTGATATTACTCGTGCGTGCAAGTGGGGTCGGTCAACCTCACCCCTTTTGGCCATATGATTGGCAGGTTTGACCCAATCCCTTTCACATCAAAATGTTCACATCACAAAGCAAAAGAAGCTCAGATCGTGCACCAGGACACTGGAATTTTCGGTAAAGACCAGGGTGAACGTACCCATACCGGGCTGATGAAAGCTTGCTTCTTCAGACCAGGTCAAGAACACCTTCATCGACGTCAATTTACCCAGGCGAGGCGGTTCCCGCAAGGCTTTGGTTCTTTTTCCCCATTTCTGGGGAAGAGCAGCACAGCAGAGAAGACAGAGAGCTATTTGATTTCAAGGTCCCTGATGATTGAAACCAAAAGTATAGCACCCTTGTATATTTAATGTTGATGAATAACACCCTCCATTTGGATTGTAAAACCTCTTGATGTGGTGGTTTCCAAGACTTGCCCATCAGCGGTGTACGAGTTGTGTCCACTTGCAAGAGGTCACCTTCCCACATTTGAAGAGAGATCTCAAAGTTCTGTCGAGCAGGAAGACTCCACTCTGGCGCCACTGGACTGAAAAATCGGTAAATGAAAAGATCGAAAAAGTAAAATAAACGTCGACAGCTTACAGAGCTCACAGCTTACAGAGCCGGAAAGAGTGCTCAGCTCTGCCGAAGACCACTCAGCTCTGACCTCGCCAGCACCGCCACGCCTGTGCCCTCGCCGCCGGCCTCAGCGCCCGCTCGGCAAGCAGTGGCGCTAAAGGAGCGGGACGAATCAGTGAATGCGTTGACTCATGAGTCCCTAGTAGCTTCTTGTTACTAGTAGTAAGAATGCTCCTAGTAGCGA